AGTCACGAGGCACTGCATTCTGTGTACCACGAATGACAGTGCTGTTGAGGAGTCAGAAGGCTGAAGAAAAAGCAACTCTTTCTCGCGGAAAAAGGTTTCGCATTATGTTTTACGAGCATCTTCCGAAGAGACTTCCAACTTAATTTTCAACTACCAGGATTTAGGACTGGTCCAAAAACTACACCGATCTATAATAAATTAAATATTTCGGTTCTCTACTGATCCTTCCATCAACCCTTTAACGCCCAGGCCTTTAACTAGTTATTTCAAAATTATGGAATTGATATATATCATAAGCACTGGGTGCTTGACTGGTTTCACGGAGGACCACCTCAGTGGTGGGATTAACGCCTTGTTTCGGTAGGTTAAGCGTAAAAATGGAGCGCGAACGGGACGAAGTTCCTCTCCTCCCTGTACCCTGGCAAACATTGGAAGTCGGAGGCGTTGAAAGCACCCAATAACACACAATCGAGGAGAAGTCGACTGCTCCTGCTCCCGCCACTCGATATTCAGGCAAAATGGAACGCGGTCGTGGGTGTGTGTTATCGTTCCAACCGCGTTACCCATTTTATATCCATCTCTCGAATACCGCGCGTGCAGCGGGCTGGGGTTGGCCTGGTGCACAACCCACCCCCCCCCCCCCCGTTTCTGTCGCGGCTGACAAAATGGAAGATAAAAAAAAAAGGCAGTCGAGTCTCTACGACGTGCACTGCCACGATCATCTGTACCCAGCCACCCTCCCTCCTCGCCAGCGAAATACCGATTTCAAAGCCGCGATCGCGATCTGCCGGGAACAGGCCGGAGAGGGTGACTCATAAAGCACTCTCTTCCGCGAGGCAACGCCGATCTGTCGACACTGTTTGAACGGGGCAACCTTTAAATCGGCTCGACCCGTAACCCTCAAACCTCCGCCTGTTCGCCCGTCCAGCTCCGCCGAGTGCGATTGCCGATATTTCCGGGCCACCGGAAATGACGAGCGGATCAATACCCTGATAACGGGTCGCTAAATATAATCGTCGCAAATAATAGTACGGGTAAATAAGGGCCTCGTGATAATTGCAAGGCATTTAATGCTGTTTTCCAATGAACACGAAAGTAATTTGTGATACGGTATAAATCTTTGATGAAGTCATTCGGCGGATCGGTGATATCGAGGGCGTGGTTTTTCGCGGTGATAATACGATTTTATTGAACACGTGACATGATTATTTATTGTTTTCCTGGGTGGTAATAATGAAATTAGATGAACGTTGTTAAATGAAATATGAAGCATGGATTCGGTAGACGGTTATAGTACGTTGTGTTTTTCCGACTGGAGGCCTGCGAAACGGTACCGTTGCGGCGTCGACCGGATTTGTCCGGAATTTTTGCGAAACCGCGGAGATTAATCTTGCCCGCAAACAGGCCGTCAACACGCGACGCGACCATCCAATGGAAACACACTTTCCACGGTCGTCGGGTTCCTCGTCGCTTTCATACGGACCGACGGAAATGAGTTCAACGACTGTTCGAACACATTATTCCGCGAGTAATTAGACACCATCGAACAACATATGCAAACTAATATTGTCAATGAGAAAAATCTACAACTGCATATTTTAAATTTTTGTCGATTCGAAATGCACTTTGCGTAATATTCATTGCTGTAGTTCTGTTATTAAAAGACAACTGTGTATGGTTTGGTCAACCAAGAGTGAAACTGCAATGTATGTATGCACACGAAATCACGTAACTGACTAGGGAGAGTAATGTCACATTATTATTGGCAGCACAAACAAATAGTGAAAGGTATTAACTGAACATTTATGGCTGACTATGACCGAATGATTCTACTTCCATCCAGACTCGTTTCTTAACTTCATTACAAAACTTCTACCAAAAGATGACTGTATAACGTAAACTACTTCCGCTAAAAAGGACATTGAGTCCCAGTTACGTCTGTTTCCCACAAAGAAAGGGAGCCAGTTGTGTGGTCACGGTTCGTATATCTCCGTTCTCGACGTTTCTTATCTCGCGAACTGTGCAGCTTCGCAGACCGTAAACAATGCTCGGAGCGGTTTCACGGGTCAAGGAGCCGCGAACCGGCCAGGTGGGCACGTGCTCGAGGAAGTCACGTTTTCGCACGTGGGGGCCAACACACACATTCATCATAAAAAGCTCGTTACGGCGCCACTTGTTGTCCAAGGCTTAAGCCTTTCGACGCGTCTACCTAGCGAGTAGAGAGTCTCGTAACGCCTCCCCCAACCTCCCCGTCGTTTCCTCACCCCCTTGCGGCAAATTGAGGATGAAATTGCCCCGCGGGCGGATCACTACGTTATCCTCGGCCGCGACCGTCCGTTTTAAGCGGAATTTTTTTCGCCGTTTGTCGACCTGACGGATTCCACTCGTGCGGTAACCGAACGTTGCTGACCGATCGAACGAAACAGTCGGCGAATATTTTTAATTCCACCGACTGTCGCGGAAATTCAGCAACCCGCTTTTTTTTTTCGCGGCCGATCGATTTGCTTTGCATTCCGGAAGAGATGTTCGGACGTTAACGAATATCGGCGTGCACCGATTTAATATGCGCATCGTGTTTCAATTACACGATGCTGTTTACTTATGGTACAATTATTATGAATATGTAGATTCTGGGTGCAGAAGGTTTCGACGGAGTAACGATTGAATTTGGTGCTCACGATAGATTTATTGCTTTTCGTGGGGACAATTTCGTACCAATTTCAGGATATCGTAAACCTGGAGTTGGTCTATCACTTTTGAAACACTGGATATACAATTTTAAAAAATAACTTCTGCTGATTTTGTTTTGATAGAAACAGAGTAATGCTGGGCCTATGATCAGAAAATACGACACATATACAGGTAGTACTATCTAATATGAGCACCTTTTGTATCCCACTTGATCTTAATTTGTAGAAAATTAATTTTAATAAATGCTCAAGCTGATGTCCATCAAATTCCATTCATTTTTGCACTAATTCATCTATCGTAGTTATTTTATGATTTCAATCAAGGTCACATGAAGGTCACACTAGTATAGGTCATTGGATTGGTCTTCATCTTAACTATTACACCATCGACTACCTTGAAATTTGAAAAAATATGACTGAGAAAAGTTTTTGCTTATCATAGTATTTGCTCCTTCTAACCAAATGATACTTTCTACCCACATTTCTTTGTATTTTCAAAGACAAGTGGGATATTGTAGATTCTCATGTTAGGTGGGACACCCTGTATATGTAGTTTTTCTTTAAGAACTTAGGCAATTCAGGAAAATGCAGGAGTAATGTTAACAGCCTAGATAATTTTTCGCGAGTTTATGTCAACTCTCCAAGTATGCTGGACGAGTTGGCTATCCCGCGGATTAACATCCCTGTTCAAAATCTACGTTAGACTCTGCGCTCTATGGTTTCAAGTGTAATTATACCGCGCAAAAGAAGTATTAACTTTTCTCTCGACCCGGCCAATCACGACAGATTTCACGTAGACCTCGGAACTTGTATCTGTATGAATTCATGGGTCTCTGGGGGGCCACGATCAAATATAAAGTAGACTAGAATGTCTATTTTCGCGATACACTTCGCTGATAAGGGGACTCGCTTGGGGAACTAAAACCCTTCCAATTCTGGAATAACTCGAGGAAACTCTATTCTATCCAAATGATCATGACACCCGAAGAATATGTAAAGTATGAGCTTCAAAGTAAACACACGGTACAATCGCAACCACTGTGTCGAAACGAACAAAATCGATCGATCGGTCAGGTTCAATTATCTTCCCGCCCCCCGTGAACGAATCATTCAGGGGATCGAATGAAATATAAATCGGCTCGAAATAGGAAGGATGTAAAAATCCGTTCGTCAATTTTCGACGAGTCGCGAACGAAGAAAAATATTCTCTGTCGGTGAATCACAATGGCGGAGGTGTGGAGGATCACGGCGACGGATGGATCGTTAGCCGAACGATACAGACAATTCCTTTCTACTTCGATACGAAAGTTCAATATAGAATACGGTCTCATTTCTCATCTAGCCGGTTCGTCGCGCCATCAACTCGTGGCCCCGTAAATAATCTTCCACCTATTTCTTGTCCTGTTCTCGCTCTACTATCTTTTTTCATATCGTTAAACGAGTCGTATCGATAGCTTTTCGGTGCTGCGACCGGTTGTAACGTCGGTGACGACGACGTGAAACAAACGGCCGAGGCCACATTTGAATAATTCACGCGGGAATCCGTGTTTCTCCCAAAACGATGTCGCTGGACCGCGAGGAAATCGTATTTTCAAAAATGCCGGAAATATTCCGACGGGACGAACACCGGATTCCGCGTGACGTACGACGGGGGAGGGCCAGGGCATCGAAGGATCGCTGGAAATATCCAATTTTCGCGTCGGCAAATTCAATCGCGACCTACCACCCCCACCCCATTTCCACCCCTTTCGACCCAGTCTGCCCGATTATTTTTAAATTAGGTACACCCGCCGTCCATCCCTCGATACTCGGCGGGTATATGGATAGCCGAGCGACGGATAGAGTTTTAATTCGTTCGCAGCGATGCGTGGCATAATGCGCGCCGTTCCGTTCAGCCGTGTTATCGAGAGCCCCTCCTCCGCCTCTGGAATAAATCGCTCGGATTCATACGTTATTCATTACGATTTCCACTTTGTAAATTATTTTACCGTTTGCCGTTTCGCGTACGGCGCGCGATTTTCTGTGACGCGGGGAGACACTGTCTCTGTTGCACTCGTGGTCGCGTTTCGGTTTGTCCACAATGTTATACAAAGTGTCCCAAATTTAAATCGACCTATTCGAATGTTTCTGAAACTTGACGATATTAAAAAATGTTTCGGACAGAAGTTAAACGGTATCGGGGGGCACATTTTCTCCAAAGGGTTAAATAATTCAGCCTCTTTGAAATGTACGTGTCAGCCATATTTGAGCGACATGGCAGTCAAAGTGATAGAGTAGTATCCACCTAGGAACACCGAGGACTGTGCATACCTGCATGTAGCCTCCGAAAGGAACCTAACTAGCCACCTGCAACACAGAAAACAAGACAAGAGGGTAAATACACATTCACCGAGGGGATAGAGAACGCAGGGATGCGCGCCATTAGGCCAGTGGGGGACAATGGCGTGGCATCGTCTTCTCTAATTCTCGCGGTGCTTGAAAACGCTTAGCCGTGCAATCGACGTAGCGAGGGCGGCTATTTAAGGCGAAGAAGACTGTAAGTATAATGTTCCCGGGGCCTTGATACAGCCGTGGAGGAAGGTCGTTAAGTAACGCTGTGGCGGAGGAGCTTTAAGGTTTGTCATGTAAATCGTAATCCCGCCACCGGTGCGGTAAAGAAGGACGTTTCGAGGGGAGGGACCGACGAGGATGCTACCAGGCGTTCTTCCCCTCTTTCCATCTTGCGTCCCCACCCCTTTTCCGCGACCATTATCATCGAAAGCGGATTCGAGTACTTCGGCAACTTTCAGCGAGGAATTTATTATAATCGCATTCAAGAGCGTCTTATGGCAACGACTGCAAAGTAGCTATTCGAGAATGGTAGGGGTGAGGATGGTGGGGGAATCGGCGAAGCTGATTGAAACTCTGAAACATTTGCTCCTCTGGGTAACTTAGCAGCCAATCGTCGCAGATAAGTCGGTTTCCCCAGTTAACGGTTCCCTTAATTAATCGTCTACCGTCTCGCGGTCCACGTTCCCGCGACGACGACCACCACCACCATCACGACGGGTATCAAGAACTTTTCTTCCCCACCCCTCCGGCGGCACGCTTTACACCCTCTCCGCCACTCTATTAATTCGCCATTATCGCGAAAGTATAGCAACAATCGGAGGCCTCGCCCCAAGCCATCGAGCTTTGGCCGAGTTAATAGCTTCTCGCTTCACGTTCTTCGCCAACGCTCGCTTAATTGCCACGGGCCGGGGGATCTGGCACGTGAATTCTCGGCGATTCGTTCGACCCAAGATAAATACCAGGTTATGTAATTAAGATCGGAACGACGAGCGTGTTATTTCAACCCAGAGGCGGCCGCAGCAGCCGCAACGAACAATTTCCCGCGCGGAAGTTTCCCTCCTGTTATGATAGGTTAAGGCCGATCGGTGATACCGCCACGTTCCACCAGCGATCTCGATTTCTGGGGGTAACGGCGGAATGGTTCGATTACCGGTGGAAATATATTTTACGTTTAATATTCCGTCTTAATGCGTACTTTGATGGCCATCCTGTTATCGAAGCTTTTGCTCGAACGGTTATTGTCGTAACTGAACTCACGTAGTGGCCTCGAAAAGACTCCATCGTTTTTAAAATTAACTGTTTCGAAAATATTAGGTGTACCAATAAGTAGTCCACTGTTTCTTTTAATTATGATGCGATACATTTTCAAGTGAAAGCCCCCTAACTTATCAAGGACGGCGGATTGACACGCTGCGTGTAAAATGCGGCTTTTCTGCAACTAAGCGATCTCGTATTCGAAATGACCAAGATCCTGCTTATCGGTGGAGGCATTACACACTCCTGAATCGATGAAAGTTGCACAGGCATCGGTCGTGCGTGCTACACGAAATCGGCCGACGAAACTTTCCGTGAATTGAATGGCAACTTTAATAAAAAGAGACATTGCACGTAACATTAAATTACGGGGCGCCCGTTTGGAAATACGAAACGAGCATTTAACGAACATTTTCTATTAAAGGGGATGAAACGCGACGATGAACTTCTTAAAGCGTATTTTGGGTCGTTGGAATAATGGGACTAGGATAACGTTCACTATTTTTCGAGTATTATTACGAAACGAACTCGACGAAAGTCAGTGTTATACTTGACGCAATTGAATTGGACGATAATTATTAAGTTAAGTACAATGTAAATAGTACGAATGTGAATTCTGATCAATGAAGGTGACCGAGTATTAACAGTTATCGATGAAACACTGGGTATATCGCAGTATCAACAACACGATGTATCGATCAACGTACATGGTTATCAGTCAGTATCTGAACTTTTCCGTGAGGGACGAAGATATATGGCTTCGATGAAATTGGTATTATTCTATGAAGCCTATCAGTCTTTACACGTTAGCTTCAGAATTATCCGGGATAAAACGAACGTAAATAGATAAAGTACTTAATACTTGACTAGTCTCGCTATTTGCTGATCGCCGTCATAAAATAAAATATCGTCAAATAAATATAAACGTTCATTTATGACCAGAACTTTCTCTAATCGAGACGCAAATTATCTTCCATGGTTCTGTTCTACATATAACCATCATTTTCTTCCCTAATCGATTCCATCTAATTACATTCTCCACCGTGAAACAGTGTTTCCCCGAGAAATGTATAAAATTTCATAGATTTTCCTTGAAAAATGGGGACACAGATCCCGATAACCGTTTATCATTGCAGTAATTACCGCGAAAAGATGAAACACAGCGCGGTCGGTACTAATGAACAGTTTGTAATCACGATCCGCGAGAACCACGACGAAATGTTAAGATTTCGCGAGGAACTTTAATCCACCGTGTTGCTCGTGCGTGGAAAAAGTCATTAAGTGGTTAAACGAAATATACGGTGCTTTTTATAGAGCGGAATCAGGCCGTTGAATATTCAAAATGTCGACCGGTTCCACAATTTGATTAATTACACCGACCCAGAATAGGAGATTTCTTTTATTCTCCGCCCGGTATCAAGTAACAGCCACGGGGGATCTGTTTCCGAGAGGTACGCCCGATGGCTACGATACCCGGCCGAGGAGACGCGGAAAAACACGGGAAATCCTCGGGAAAATGTAAGTAAGAAACAGCGCCTTTGGCAAGAAAACCAAGGGAAAAGCGATGCAAATGCAGACACGGTTAATTAGCATCGACGAAAAACTCACGGAGTAAGAGGAGAACGCTGAAAATACAATACTGCGCAGTGTTAAATTAACTCAACGGGGAGGGAAGAGGGGGGGGGGGAAACTTTCTCGTTTAACGAATACGATGCCGGGTTTGAAAGAAGTTCACCGGTGAGTACGTTTTTCTTGAAAAATTGTAGTAAAGTCGGCTGGAATTGAAATTTCTACTGGACTGTGCGCGTTCCGTATTAAGGAAAAGTTTTTCCAGTAAAAAATCTCTACTGTTCCGTGTATCGGCGTCCATTGTGATTCACTGGTTAGTCTACTGGTCTTTTCGTACTTTCATTGAGAACTTCGCGTTGAACGATTCAAGTGAAGAACTCACGTAAACTTGTTATTACTTAGTAATAAATCTCACCAGTTAATCCTCTGGTCTTCTTGTAATTTTTGGAAACACGGTCGCGTCACACAATTCATGTAAACTTGTTTACTAGTTAGTAATAAGTTTCACTAGGTAGTTCACTGATCTTCTCGTACTTTTAGGAAACACGGTCACATTAAACAATTAACGTAAACACGAAATATATTGGATTCTAGCTATATTGCCATGGTCGGCGTTGTGGGTGAGTAGCGCCTGCGCAGAAGTTGGATCGTGCTGGTGTCCTGTCGTACGAAACGTGGTGGGAGATCGAACTTGTATGCTCGAGAATACGTGTGAAGGGGAAGTGCCTAGCAGTGGCAATATGTTTAGTGGCAATATAGTTAGAGTTCACTGTACTAACTACCCACCTCAATCGAAGGTCGCCATTATTTCGTAACTATAATTTATTGTCGATTAACTATAACACAGACGGGGTATCCGATTATATCGCCGAAAAATGAAGAACATTACCAACATAATATATTCCTCCCCAACTCACCGAATACACAAAGGAAGAAGACCGAGCGTGGAACAGTAAATACCACCTTTTCCTAATTAGTACCAAAAGTGTGCCAGCAAACGTCGCGGCGGCGGACACACAGTCCCTTCAAACTCCGTCCATCCCATCCCTTATTTTCCTCCGGCAAACTTCAAACGAACAATGAGGCCAGTCCGGGCGAAGCGTGATGTTAATTAAACAGTTCCTTTAGCCAGTCCGCGGTCGTAATCCTCCGACACTGGGTGTATTATAAAATTCACGGGACAGGAATTGCAGAAACGGAAAGAAGCATCGAGTGGACTCGGACGTTCAATGGACTAGCGCTAGGAAGGGGACAAAAGCACCACTCGAGGGACCTTTCTAACAGCACCAAGATGCTCCTTGGATAAGAGTGAAAGGAGTGGATGGCCAGGAGGAAAACAGGGGTAGCGAGTAATAAGGGAAAAATAGAGGCTGTTGGAAATAAGGAATACAGAGGGGGGTGGGTCTTGTTCGGACGATGGCGCATAATTTAAAGGCTTCGTTATTACGAGCGAAACCAGGCTGTCGTGCGGAAGTTCGAATGGCACCGTGCAGAAGCCCACCACGCGCGGTCACGAAGCGTTCCTCAAAGACGCCAGGATTAAAGCCGTGTGGGTGGACGGAACTTCGGTCGAGCGATAACAATCGACGATTTGGATCCATAATCCGCGTGCCTCGTGCCCGTCCAAACAGTTTAACTTCAGCGAAACTTTCCGAAGGGCGCCTCGAAACGCGGGCGTGATAAACGATCCAAGTTTCTCCTTTCATCGGCTGCCATCGGTGGTCGTTCGACGAATACCCCGGATTCCGACACGTCGTTGACGCCACACCCCGCCCCCTCTCCCATTTCGGAACCGTTGTCGCCCACTTTCTATCTTCCACCGGCTCTTCGGTAAATTATTACATCGATCTCGAACGTTGATCCACCTGCGTCCATCCATCCGGCTTGTGTCTACGCTTCCTTCTTGCGGGATCGATTGCCCCATTGTTTTCGTTTCATCTGGCGTGTATCCCCTTTCTCCGTTTCGTCTGGGTCTCTCTCATCTTAAGAAATTGTTCCGATCGATCAGGAAACACATAAACGGTTATGATCCTTTTAGGTTCCTGTTGGGTTTCATCCTTGATCTATGGGGGAAGATTCTTTAGGGGTTTGGGTAACTGATTGTCTTTTCTGGAGGTCAACTATAGGTCACAGAATTGTATAGCTGAGCTTTACACATTGAGAAAAGTAGAGGAGGTCCAAATACAGATAGG